TATAGTATGACCTCCCATTGCTTCCCAACACAAAATACTAATTTTAGATGAAAAGGAGTTTTGTTGGCCAAGAAACAGTGAATGGACCAAAGATGACAAAAAAAGAGCAGAGGGAGGAATAAATAGATGTTCTTCAAAAAAAATTATATTTTGATCTTTTGCCTTGAAAAGAAAGAGAAAGGAAAAGCCAAACCCTTTTGGCTGCCTTTTGGGTGCTTTGTTCTTTTCCCTTGTTAGATATCTCTTCTGAGCTGTTTTATCCTGTTGTGTTCTTGAAAATGATTTTTGAAATGTCAAAACTTCAAGCCTCTTTTGTCAGGGCTTAAGCAATTCCACTGAACTTTGAAGGAGACCCCAGCATGAGAGACATGAACTTCTGATGCTGCCTTAACTCACCCAGCTTTGATCAGCGCTGGGGAGGGAACGGGGGGAGTGGAAAACACACGCGCACAGAAACCCAAACAAATCAATCCCCTGAGGGGTTGCTGGACCTTGTGGAGCTGAGAGGGGGCTGGAGCTGTGTCCTGGTGTTCTCCACACTGCTCTGTGGCATTGGCTGGCTTGTAATTCCAACAGTATTTGAGAGACATGTCCTGGTATGGAGTATTGTATTTGCAGGGAATGCCCCAACGAAGGTGGGAATGATGAATCTGACTCCATGTTCTCACAAGGCTAATTTATTACTTTATAATACTATATTATACTAAAGAATACTAAACTATACTAAAGAATACAGAAAGGATACTTACAGAATACTAAAAAGATAATAATGAAAATTCCTGACTCTTTCCAAAGTCCTGACACAGCTTGGCCCTGATTGGCCAAAGAGTGAAAACAACTCCCAGCAGAATCCAATGGAACAATCACCTGTGGGTAAACAATCTCCAAACACATCCCACATGAGCACAACACAGGAGAAGCAAATGAGATCAGAATTGTTTTCCTTTTCTCTGAGGCTTCTCAGCTTCCCAGGAGAGAAATCCTAGGCAAAGGGATTTTTACAGAGAATGTGAATGCCACAGGTATGGAGTTCCTCAGAGGTGGTGCTGGGTGCAGAGTTGTCATTTTGTTTCTGTATTCACTTGGTTGGTTGATGGCTGCTTTACCCTGAGAACTAAATGTCTCTGTTCAAGGGAGATTTCAGCAAGGCTTTGAGTGGGAAGCTTGACATTTGTGTCCAGGAGAATGCCTGGGAGGTTGGCAGTGGGGACAGCAGGGTGGACAGTCCCTCCAGTATCTTCAGAGTGTCTGTGCTGGGATCTGCTCTGGGGACTGCAGCTGAAGGGGTGCTTCAAACCGGGTGTGGGGGTGATTTAGTAGGGTCTGAGGTCCTTGAGGAGGGTTTTGGGAGGCTGGTTTGTACTGGGTTTCACCCCCCTTAAGTCCTCCATCACTTCCCTTCCCTCCATCCAGAGACTGCAGTCGTGGAAAACAAATCCAGCTGATGTTCCCAGCAAGGTGTTTGAAACAGCTTTTGCTTGGAAAAATGTTTGTTCTTGGTAATTTCTAAAATAATTTGTTCCTCAACCTGCCCTTTCTGAGCTTTTCAAGGTGGTTTTGATATGTATACGACGGTGACTTTTGAGAAACTGTTTTCTGTGTGTGGATTCTTTGAAAGTGAAGTGAAAAATTTTGTGAAAAGGCTTTGAAATCATCAGAATTTTAGCTTTCAAAATATTTGTAGAGTGCCTTTTTTCTGTTATTTATTTCACAGGCAAGCTATAAAGGGATCAAGGTTGGGGTGTTTGTTTGTTTGTTTGTGTTTTCAGTGGGAGAGAAGGTGATGAAGGTGTCTGTGAATGTCTCTCAAAACCTTGCCACACACTCAGCTTCAGAGATGTGAGAAGTTCCCTTGCTAGAAGTTGTTCCTTCACTCCTCTGAGGAAGGAAAGGGGAGGAAGGAGATAAAGGACAAAGGAAACTAAAACCTTTAATTTCCCTGGGTTTGGGTTTTTCAGACTGAGGTAGAAAAACCTCCATTTTGCACTGAGCCTGAATTTTTGGATTGAGAGCTTTTCACTGCTGCTTTTCGAATAAACAAACAAACCAACCCCCATAAAAACCTGATAATGAGGATGACTTCTCAATCAGAATTACTAAAATCAAAATAGTTAATCTTCAAAATACCTGGAGCCAGAGAAGGGGCTGGAGCAAAAGTCTGATGAGGAGCATCTGAGGGAGAAAAGGAGGCTTGGGGGGGAATCTTCTCACTCTCTACAACTCCCTGACAGGAGGGTGGAACCGGGGGGGTTTGGCCTTTTCTCCCAGGGAACATTTAGGTTGAATATAAAGATTCTTTAGGTTGAATCTAAAGATTTCTCTGATTTCTTCAGAGAAAAGGGTTGTCCAGCCCTGGCACAGCTGCCCAGGGCAGTGATGGAGTCCCCATTCCTGGAGGGTTTAAAAGGTGCATGGATATGGCACTGGGGACATGTCCTGGTTGCCTTGGCAGAGGAACAGTGGGATTTGATGATCTGAGAGGTCTTTTCCACCTGAATGATTCCATTTTGGGGAGCCCCAGAGGTCACCCCTCCATCACCCACCTGCCCATGGAGCAGATCCTGGAGCAGGATCCTCTGCCAGCTTCATCCCTCTGGGTACCAATGGCGTGTCTGGTTTGTGTCTGGTTTACTTCTGTGACTTCCAAGCTGTATTTTAACCAGAAGTGGGGTTCATTAAATAGGGATTTAATCAAGAGCTGCTGGTTTTGCTCTTCAGTCCTTGGGTGCAGAGGGAGTTGTCTGTAGCTGAGTCTCAAAACAACCCTACGTGCTTCCCAAGCCTTGCTCTTTATTAGGGAGCTGCGGAAATCAGGAGGAAAACAAAATTGACAGGTTACTACTTAGACACCTACATGTAAATAGTAAACACTCCCAAAGGGTGCACAATGCATTTCTGTTTGGGAAAAGAAGCCGGCAATTGTTGTTATTGGTATGTAAGGCTATCTTTAAAAATTCATTGAAAGAATAATTAGGGGATAAAACCACGTGGCTCTAAGAAACTTCTTTGTGCTCAGTGTTTCTCTGCTTTGCAGTGGTGCTGGGGGGTTTACCCAGTGATTTACTGCTGCCTTGTGTCTGATTGAGATGTATCCTGCAGCCTTGGTGGGGCAGCCCCTGCCTTGCTGTGTCTCTGATGTCTAATTCTCATTTGCTTGGGCAGTCAGCAGCTTGGCAGCCTCCACTGGCTTTGAGTTTAGACATGTGTCTGTGAATGTGTTCATGGTATATAAACACTCTGAGTGTCAAAGACCCAAGTTTATGGGAAATTAGGGCTTGGATTTAGCTGGTGCTGAGATCTTGGGATGCCTGAAAATGAGGTCACTCACTGGGATGCTTGACTCGAGGCTCTGCTTGTTTTATCCTTTGCATGGCTAATGTGGTGCAGGATGAGGGTGAGAGGGGCTCCCTCTTGCTAAGCATCAGGGATCCTCTTCAAAAGGAGATATAGAGTTTGTGTTCAAGCAGGTTCACGTGGGGTGGCTGCTGCTGCAGGCTCATTGTCCTGCTTTTTTAATCTCTTGGCTTTCATCAAAGTAAGTTGGGGCTTCAAAGAATGGTGTCCTAGTCCTTTTCTAAGGGCCATAAGCCTTACAGTTTCATAACAACAGGCCCTGGATCTGTAGACTTGCTATCCCTGGGTAATCTCTGAGAAGGATTTCAACATTCAGACAGTGGTTGCAAATTTTGCCCACGTTGCAAGTCCTCAGACTTAGTGCAGAATCTCACAGCCACCTTTCTACTACCTGGTAGTTCCCCTTGCCCAGTCCTCCTTGCAGGTTTCTTCTCCCCTCTTTTTAGAGGCTTTTACCATGGTGAGTTTTGCAAAACACCACTTAATGGCAGAGGTTTTTTGGCTCCTCTCTGATCTGTGCAGCACTGTTATGGAGGCAGTCTTATAATCAATGTAATTGAAGATCAGAGTTAATGAGGACCTCTGTGCCTGCAAAATCCCCCAAGCGATGCTGGGCCTCAGATGTTAGATAAGGAAATGATTGGGCTGAACTGAAAATCTATTTGGCTAATTAGATGATACATATTCCCAGATGCCAGTGGGGAAAAATACATTTCGCAAAATAAAGAAGCATAAGATTTTGTAAGAAAATATTTTTGGCAGGAATTTGCTTGTAACTCACAGGAGGGAAAGGGTGGGGGAGTGTCTGGTATGAGATAACTCACACAAGAAGTTGTGTGTTGGGCCTATCCACTCACCTTCCACAAAAGGTGAACAGGCCCTGCTGCTGCTGCCCATCTGTGCCCTGAGCTCCAGGTGCCTCCAGGACAATTCCTCCTTAATGCTCTGGTTACAGATCAGAATAATTACACTGGTCCTCATTTCTGCAGAGACCTGGAATCAAATCCCAGTAGTGCAAGGGCAGAGGAGCTGGTGGTCCATTTGCTGGAGCACATTGCTGTGGTGAAAAATGGTCAAATGAAGTTCTTTGGGACCAGCTGTCAGTGATGTCGCAGACATCTTTTATGAAAAATCTTTTTTTTTTTAGGATTTTTTCCTCCTGAGAAACTGAGAGGCCTCAGGAACAGAATGTAAACAATGATTATCTGCTGCTGTGGAATGCAACGGGTGCATCTGTGATTGGTCAATGTTGATTGTTTTTATTTAATAGCTAATCACAGCTCAGCTGGCTCGGACAGAGAGTCCAAGACAGCTGCCCTTGTTATTATTCTTGCTTATTTTATTTTTAGCTAGCCTTCTGATGAAATCTTTTCATCTGTTGTTTCAGTATAGTTTTAATGTAATATATATCATAATATAATAAATCAAACTTTCTGAAACATGGAGTCAGATCCTTGTCTCTTTCCTCAACGTGAGACCCCTGTGAACATGGTCACCCAGTGAACTCATTATTATTTTACAGATCTTGTCATCACAGCAGCTCCTGAAGAGTGCGGTGCTCTGATGCTGGGCCAAAATGCACATTTGGGGTTTTTCTTTCAGATTTCCACACTCACCTAACACACTTTTTTCCCCATTCCCCACAGGGAGCAGCTTCGTTGTGAGTGAGGGCAGCTACCTGGACATCTCTGACTGGCTGAACCCAGCCAAGCTGTCCCTGTACTATCAGATCAATGCCACGTCCCCCTGGGTGAGGGATCTCTGTGGACAGAGGACCACTGATGCCTGTGAGCAGCTCTGTGACCAGGACACAGGTAAGGGAAGCTGGGGGAGAAGGAAACCCTTGGAAAGCTCAGAGATGTGAGGGAGAAGGTCTGTCACTGGGTATTTTGATGGCTCACCTCTGCTCTAGCCTGGTGGTAGGCATGGGGGACTGAGGGGTGCTAGCAAGGTCACAAAGTGGGGACCCCCATCAGCAAAGTGTGAAGAAGATGGGCACAAGATGGGGATTTGAAATGGTGAATTTACCAGTTCTCTGGTGTGACAGCTGCAGGCATGTGGAGTTTTTCTGCTTCTCAGTTGGGTTGTTCTGCTTCTCAGTTGGGTTGTCCAGTCTAGACACCCATCTCCTTGCAGAGGGATGCCATCCCAGCTTAGTCCCAGCTCTCCTTGTGAGCCATGAGCTTCTTCACCCCATGTGTGTATGAGATTCATGGCTGCAGGTAAGGATGTTGGTGTCTGGCTCTGCCAGAGGGTTTAAAGGATGGCTCACTGTGGAGAAGGCTTTTCCTAAGCCTCCCAAAGCCCCTGACTGTCATTAATACATGGATTAGAACAAGAAATCCTTCAGAGTTGTGGACACCTCATGGGGTGCTGGGGGTGACCCTGTTCTCATCCCTCCCTGCTCAGCTGAGATGCAAATACTGAACTTGGTCTTACAAACTAATTTTACTGGTCAAGACAATCTTCTCTTCTTAAGTATTCCTGTTCCTCAAGGCTTGTCTGCATGGCAGGCATGGCAAGAGGGTGATGCTGCATGAATTCCCTGTATAGACAGCCCTGGGCATTACCCAAAGCCCCAAGCAGGGCTGGGAGGTGCCAACAGCCATGCTGACAGATGGAGGTGGTGCAGGAGGAGGCTCTCCTCATCCAGATGTGACAGAGCAGAAAGATTTTTTGTTCCAGGCATTGGCAATACACAGCCACCTCAGTGGGAGAGGGGAGCTGCATTCAGCTGTCCCCTGGTTCAGAGGGGGAGAGAAACAGCTCTGCCTTCAGCAGAAACCACAAGGACACTGTATGGAGCCAGAGCATGACTGCACTGCTGGAAGAGCCCTGTGGCTCCCCTGGCCAGCCCCATCCTTGGCAGGGAGCAGGGCTGGCTGATCCTGCCGTGGCCTCGGTGTGAGGAGCTGCTGCTCTGCCCTGCCGGCCCAGCTGCTGCTCCTGCTGTGACCCTGGCTCCCAGAGCAGCTTGTCACTCCTGCTGGATGCCCCACGCTCCAGCAGGATGTGTCAGATCTGGTTTGCAGGGAAGGGAGAGATGCTCATTATCTCGGGAGTTGTGCTGGAGCTGAACCTCGGCAGCTGCTCTGTGTTCCCAGCCCTGGTGCCCATGGTCCCTCCCTGCCCAGGGTGAGGGCAGAGCAGCTGCATCCCAGCCCTCAGGGCCCTCTCCTGAAATCTGTCCTTGGGCTTCTGTTGGGGAAGACGAAATAGCAAAGCCCTGTAAATATGATTGCCTGGCAAAAGATTTTGAGAATATAGAAAGTATAAGCGAGATTGAAATGAAAGCAAGCTTTGAGATCCCTCAGTTACTGAACAACTGGAAAACAATGGTGTGCCCAGCTGAAGGTGATCCCCTTTTGATGGAACAACACCCTCTGCCTGCAGACAGGCCCAAGGGTCAGAGCACACCCTACAGCTTGGCAGAAGAGGCCCAAAGAGGAGTTTTTAGGGTTTAAAATGTAACACACTATGTTAATGTAATGATTCTTATAGGCTGTATGTAAAAGCTATAGGATTTGTATCTTGTACTAGATTGGTTAGTGAGAATCAGAATATTCAACACAGAAGAAGATTTATGGTATTGTAACGGGAACCTCGCTCTCTTACCCTTTTACTCTCTCACCCTCTCATCCTCTGTACCCCTCTCTTCTCTCGGGCCTGCTCTGAGCTGTGTTTGGCAGCTCCCAGCAGGGCCCTGCACCCAGGCCCTTTGCAATAAACCCCAACTTCCAGATCTGGCTGCAGAGATCTCTCGTCTCCATCCATCCCCACTGTCCTACCCCCCAACACTCCTACTGGCTTCTTCCCCCTCTCTCCAACCTGGCAGTGTGCACCTGAATGAACCAGAATTTTTCTCCTGTTTCTGCCAGTTGGATCCTCATGGATCGAGCAGGACTGGTTGATGGGGCTGCTGCCCTTCATAGCCTAAATCTAAAACTCCTTTAAGAGGCCCAGACTTCACAAGAACTGAAATTAGGCCTTTGGAAGTACCTGCTTGACCCTGCACCCCTGGACATAACCCTGTGTACCATGTCTGCTCATCACCATTGACCAGCCTTTAACTGGGGACAAGTTTCCCCTCCAGGCTGAGGCAGACTGTAACCCCATGATATACTGCATGTACTTTCAGATTTATTTTTATTAATGTCGTTCTATTTTTAAGGGTGATTTATTTTTATCACCATGAGAGAGGAAGGCCTGTGGTTTTATGGCAGCATATAAATCCTGTCTGGATTTCAACCTTTTTGGGTCAGGGATTTTATCCTCTCTGTGAGCATCCCAAGCGATGGGTGCCAGGGATTCCCCTGCCCTCTGCCTTCTCAGGCTGGACAGAGCATCCATGAGAATGATGGACTGAGATTTGTTCTCTCTGGAGGCTGAAAGCCTTCAAATTGCCCCTGTGAAGAGCAGCAGAGCCACCATTGAAGTCCTCCAGTCTCGGGTTGCTGTTGATAATTGCTGTCCCGAGATGTGCAGGATGTCTCTGTTTCGGCCCGTGCAACTGAAGAACGAGTCTGGACTCTTCACTTTTCGGTCTTGAGGTTGTTTATTAATTCTTATCCATAAAATTTTCTTTCTGCCCAGCTGAGATCTGCTCAGCAGGGCAGCCACAGGCATTCTGTGTTGTCCTTTTATACTACAAACTACATATAACACATTTACACTTAATTCCCAATACCTATTACCTGTGTTAGACAGTGCACTTCTACTCTAAACCAATCCCAAAGTGCCAACATCACTGCAGAAAATGGAGAACAAGAAGAAGAAGAAAGGCTGGACACACCCAAGTTCCTCCATCTTGTCCTCATAAGCCCATGCCAAAAATCCTAAAATCTACATTTTCACCCTGTGATCATTTTGTTATTACATTATTCAAACCTGTGTGACTTTCATGTCCTCATACAAAGCTGGCAACTTGCTCCAGGGGTCATAATCAAATCTCCAGGTGTTCTGGGCAGCGTGCCAGGGTCTCTGAGCCCTCCAGTGGGGTCCTCAGCAACTCTGGACATCCAGAGGGATGCACTGAGTTCTGACACTCCAGCACATTTATGGCTGATCTGCCTTCAGCCATACCCATGGCAGTGTGGATCTGCCTTGTCCCAAGCTCCCTGGGATGTGGACAGACCTCTGTGGGCAGGATCCTTGGTGGCAGTGCCATGGGCTCCTGGCACACCTTTGGACAGAGAGCCCCAGGTGACACATGCTCTCTCTGGTGACACTCAAGCCCAGCACATTCTTTGGGTTGGAGTTTGAGATGGGATTTGTCTGTACAGTATATTGACATGTCACCCTGGACGCTCAGTATCCCTTCAGTGTGGAGAATAATTCCCAGTGAAAACAGAGGCTCTGAAACACTAGGAAATGCCAAAATCCACTTTGTTGCCTGACCTTAATTTGCCTTCCCTTGCGTCTCTGTCGTGTGACTCACTGTGTAATTAAATGATTGCTGCCCCCCTGACAAATCTGAAACCTGTGTTGTGAAGCCCCAGCTCATCAGAGCATTTCAGAGGGAGCACTGACATCTGCACACGAGCAAAATGCCATCTCCCTCATCCCTCCTGCCTTGGAAACAGCCAGTCTGGTTGGTCTGACTGCAGACCCAGAGACAAATGGGCGCTGCTGGGATGTGACACAGTGACCATGTCCAGCTGCCACATCAGATGGGACAGGCAGGATGGGCTCCTTGGTTGGAGATGCTCAGCCAAAACTCCCCATCCTCCTGGCAGGTGCTGCCTGTGCTGTTTGAGACCAGAACAGGGCCGGTTTGTTGTCTTGTGGGACTGGCTGTCAGCTCTCCTCACTCTCCATATTTTGAAGAGCTGTGGGAGCGCTGCTGGTGCTGCTGCTCGTGCCACGCTCTGGGATACCCCTGGGTACAATCCAGGAGTGCTTGCTGCCTTGCTGGCCTCCCTCACCAGCCTCCATGAGAGCATCCCTTTCCAGCAGCATATGCAAATCCTGATTTGTGAGCACAATTACCTGCTTTGTATGCACAAAACCCATCCACTTGCACATTCTGTGGGCATTGCTGAAGAGACCTGCTGGAGAATCAGTCCCTCAGGGCCAAATGCTGGAAGAAACAGCCTCTGATTTTGTGCTGTCAGGTTTGCTGGAGCAGTGGCATAAATGAGATGGATAGCTACCTTGATTAGCAGGTGCAAATGTGTTGAATTTTTTTTCCCCATCTATAAATCAGGCTTTTCTTCATCAAAATTCTCACATTGCATCCACAATTGGTAGCCCTCCCCCAGTCCCCAAAGCATGAGCTTGAAAGAACCAGATGAAATGTAGTAGCAAAGGTTCTTTTCTGGAAATTGGCAGGAGGAGATATAAAAAAAAAGAAAAAAAAAAAAAGAAAAAAAGGGTTTCCATCATCATCCAAATAGGCCAGTTTGTCACCAGAGCCACAGATGGTACTGCTGTCTGGGTAGGACCAGGGGTGTGTTGTGGGCAGGAGGCAGATGAAAGTCATTTTACATTTTACACAGAGCTGTTTTTTTTTTTTTTTTTAAGGGCAACCTGTTAAGGGGATTTGGAGGTTGCAGAGCTGAGCATGTAAATCAGGAGATGACCAACCTTGCTGAGGGTGTATTTGTGTTTATGGAAACAGCCACCTCTTCCTATAGTTCAATTTAATACCATGCAGGTTCTGTGCACACCGAGTAATATTTGTTTGTTCTTGTGCTCCTCTGCTATTTTCGCTGTTTCCCGGTGCCTTTATTGACTCAGACTTTTATAGGACGAGGTTCTGTCTCTCCAAGGTATGGAGTTTAATAACTTGGTCAAAACCCATGTAATATGCCAT